CACCTAGACTCATTGCAAAAGTTTTTAACTTTCAAATAATTATAACTTGCCATTTCCCCTTACTAGCTCATATAGTAGCTGTAATGACCTGAATGATTTCCTGTTATGGCCTTGAGTATTTTCAGATCTTTATATTCTTTGGCTTTCCTACAGTATCATGTGATATAGCTGAATATGTCTTATCTCTCGAAATTTTTTCTTCCCTTGGCCTCTATGATTCCATACTCTCCTGATTCCTCTACCATTCTGACCACAACAGTTATCCTTCTGGTATAAAAATGCTTGGTACACAGTAGGCACCAACAACTATGCACTATGTAAATAAATAGCTAATTGGATGAAATCTTCCTCTTTCTTCCTTAGCAGCATATTCTCTAACAGGCAGCTGTAAGAATTAAATGTAGTCTCTGTAGTTTCCTCTAATATCCTATCCTAACTCTCCCTCATCTTTTTTTTTTTTTTTTTGGTCTGTCAAGGGGCTTGAACTCTGGCCTGGGCATTATCCCTCAGCTCTGCAGCTCAAAGTGAGCTTTCTACCACTTGAGCCACAGAACCACTCCCGGTTTTCTGAGTGGTTTATTGGAGATAAGAGTCTCACAGACTTTCCTGCCTGGGCTGGCTTTGAACCATGATCTCAGCTTCCTGAGTAGCTAGGATTACAAGCGTGAGCCACGGATGCCTGGCTCTCTCCCTCATCTTGAATTTTCAGCCCGAGTATATTTTCACAACTATGGCTGAACTAACCAAAACCACTTTCCTCTCTTTTTGTCTGGTCTTGATGTAAGAATGATTTTGAATTAGTTGTTTCGGTTGGTCTTTCTGTGCTCATGTCCACCTTGGATTTTCTCCATTTTTTCATTTTTTAGGAAGACAAAACAAAACACTTGTGACATAGGGAAATAAAGAAGAGAATCTGCCAGGCGCTGTTGGCTCACACCTGTAATCCTAGTTAGTCAGGAGGCTGAGATCTGAGAATCATGGTTCAAAGCCAGCCCAGGCAGGAAAGTCTGTGAGACTCTTATCTCCAAAATGAACCATCAGAAAACCAGAAATGGCTGTGGCTCAAAGTGTGAAAAAGCTCAGGGACAATGCTTAGGCCCTAAGCTCAAGCTCCATGATGGGTGTAGAGGAGGAGAATGGAATAAAAGAAAAAAAAATCACTACCTCAGTGTTTCATGTCTTGGGTTGAAAAATCTCAGCTTGATTTATAAGATTATTTCTTTGTTGTTTTGTATGTCCCTCCCCAACAGTATAACCCCTGCTTTCACTGTATTTGATGTCGGTATAATTTGTGGAGGGGAAGGGGAAAAACAAGTCGTTTAAATAAGGATACAGGTGGACCCATTGCAACAATGAGAAGTACAAGTTGTCATGTCGAAAACGAACTTTACAACTTTGGTGGGGGGAGGGGGGGGGGATTTGGATGGGGAGGCTGGGAAGGGATGGGAAGGGGAAACAAAGGAGGAGGCTACAATGCTTGTTAAGAAATGTACTCATTATCTTGCCCATCTAATTGTAACCCTGGGTACAGTATTTTCACAATAAAAAATAAATAAAAATTAAAAAAAAAGAAAAATCTCAGCTTGCTGAAAATTCCCTAATTCATAAAGGAAATACCTAAGCCAAACATAAAAATGTGTCTGACAATACTTACGAGCTTCCATCTTTCCTCTGCTCTCAGGGAAGCTACTAAGTGTCTTTTCAGAAGGTGCAAGAATTGGTTGGCTTGCCTTAGATGTCCCTATCTGAGGGATAACTTCATTTTCTGGAGAGGCTGAAATCTGTGGATCCCTAAAAAGAACATTGTTAAATAAAAAGTTGAAAGGGAAGCCAGGCACCAGTAGCTCATAGCTGTAATCCTAGCTACTCAGGAGACTGAGAGCTTAAGGATCAATGTTCAAAGCCAGCCCAGGCAGGAAAGTCCATGAGATTCTTATCTCCAATAAACTGAAAAAAGCTGAAAGTAAAGCTGTGAGTGACTCAAGTAATACAGTGCTAGCCATAAGCAAAAGAAACTAAAGGACAGCGCCCAGACCCTGAATTCAAGCTTCAAGACTGGCAAAAAAAAAAAAAAAAAAATCCTTGAAAGGGAGACATAGTATCTATATTTTGAGTATTCCAAAGATAAAAGGAAAATAGAACAATCTGAGACAGAGGCTAAATGTATAGCTTGGTGGTAGAAAACGTACTTAGCATACACAAAGCTGGATTTAATCCCCAGCACCCAAAAATAAATAAAACTCTTACAACTACTGAAGTCATTTTACTCAATTCTTTTATGTATTTTTCCCCAATTCAAACAAGTTATCTTTCTTGTTCTAAGAAAAAATATAATCTGATAAATGACTTGCTAGACAAACAGAAAAAAACAGATCATCATTGCCTAATGTTAACTCTATTCTGTTTTCTACTTACCTTTCTGGCACAGACTTACCCACTGGCATTACCATTAGCAGTAGTAGCAGAAGAAGCAATTCTTCTTTTTTTGTGTAACTGGGTGCATACTACACATTGGGCACAGGAAGTCTCTGTCAAATTAAGGCCAGATTCCATCCCTCCTGAAACAAAATATTAGAAGCAGAGAAGCAATAAAGGAAAACCACCTCTCCATATTTTACTACCTATAATACTATAATTAAAATATTTCTTCCCTGCTGTCCAGAAGGGCCTCTTGTCATATGAGAGATCTTTAAAATTTTTAAATTTCAGGGAATTATTAAATAGTAACCCCTCTGTACAACACCTTAATAATATCAATAAAATTGTATTTAGAATAAAAAAATGGTGGCCAGGCAGTGGTGTTTCATGCCTATAATCCTAGCTACTCCAGAGGCTCAGATGAGATCTGAGGAGTATGATTCAAAGCCAGCCCCAGGAAAGTCTGTAAGACTCTTATCTCAAATTAATCACAGAAAAAGCCAGAGTGGTGTTGTGGCTCAAGTTGTAGAGTGCTAGACCTGAGCAAAAGGAGTTTAAGGACAATGCCCAAGTCCAGAGTTCAAGACCTAGGACCAGAAGAAAAAAAAAAATCCAGGCATCAGTGGCTCACACCTGTAATCCTAGCTATTCTGGAGTCTGATATCTGAGGATCCCAATTTGAAGCCAGCCTGGGCAGGAAACCCTGAGACTCAGGGGAGGGGGGGGGGGGGGGAGGCCAGAAGTAGAGCTGTGGCTCAAGTAGTAGCATGTTAACCTAGAGCAAAAGAAGCTCAGAGACAGGCTGGGCACCAGTGGCTCATGCCTGTAATCCTAGCTACTCAGGAGGCTGAGATCTAAGGATCGAGGTTCAAAGCCAGCCCGGGCAGAAAATTCCATGAGACTCTATTTCCAACAAAACACTCAGAAAAACCAGAAGTGGTGCCGTCGCTCAAGTGGTAGAGTGCTAGCCTTGAGCTGAAGAGTTGAGGGACAGTGCTCAGGCCCACAGTTAAAGCCCTATGACTGACAAAAAAAAAAAAAAGAAGAAGAAGAAGAAGCTTAGAGACAGCCCCAGGCCCTAAGTTCAAGCCCCAGGACTGGTATAGAAAACAAAGATGGTCTGGGAAGGTGGCTCAGTGGTAGAGCGCTTGCCTTGCATGCATGAGGCCCTGGGTTCGATTCCTCAGCACCCCATAAGCAGAAAAAAAAGCCGGAAGTGGTGCTGTGGCTCAAGTTGTAGAGCGCTAGTCTTGAGCTGAAGAGCTGAGGGACAGCACCCAGGCCCAGAGTTCAGGCCCCTCGACTGGACCAAAAAAAGAAAAATAAAAGAAAACAAAAAAAGAAAAATAAAAGAAAACAAAGAAAGAAAGAAAGAAGGAAAGAAAATTTGCAGTAAACTGTATCACAGTCTATAAGCCTTTCCAGATTTATCCACTTCATTCTAGAACAGCTAATTCATGATAATTTTATTTTATATATGTAAAAAAATTATATGTAGTATATATTTGGGGGGAGGGGGAGTCCTGGACCTTAAACTCAGGGCCTGGGAATTAGCCCTGAGCCTCTTTCTACTCAAGGCTAGAACTCTACTAATTCAGCCACAGCACCACTTCCAGCTTTTTTGCGTGATTTATTGGAGGTAAGAGTCTTATGGACTTTTCTGCCAGGGCTGGCTTCAAACTGTGATCCTCAGATCTCAGCCTCCTGAGGAGCTAGGATTTCAGGCATGAGCCACTGGCACCTGGCTGTAATATATTGTATATAATTATTTCCTCAAACTCTTTCTAGTAATTCAAATACAGAAAAGAATGGCTGATATGTTAAACCATTCTGCTTAGTCTTATGACTGAGAGAGTTCTTTATTCTAAAACTCCTGAGCAAGGGCTGGGGGCAGGGGCAGGGGGGGACAGGGAAGGGATAGTAGAAAAACAAAGGAGGGAGTAACAATGTTCAACAAGAAATGTACTCATGGGCTGGGAAGGTGGCTCAGTGGTAGAGCGCTTGCCTTGCATGCCTTCGGCCCTGGGTTCGATTCCTCAGCACCACATAAGCAAAAAGAAGAAAGCCGGAAGTGGCGCTGTGGCTCAAGTGGTAGAGTGCTAGCCTTGAGCTGAAGAGCTGAGGGACAGAGCCCAGGCCCAGAGTTCAGACCCCACGACCAGACCCAAAAAATAAAAAAAGAAATGTACTCATTACCCTACTCATGTAACTGTAACCCCCCTGTACAGCATCTTTACAATAAAATAATAGTAAAAAATAAACTCCTAAGCAGCAGCTAAGACAGTATTAAAAGCAGAAATAAACAAGCATATGCAGAATCTAAGAAATCTGAGAAAACAATTATTTTTCCCTAAGTAAACCATAAATATATAAAAATGAATCCAAATAGCATTTTAAATTTTTAGGTGAGGCTGTATGTTCTGAACTCAATGTCACCTACTTTCCTCAAAGTCTGTGCCTTTTATCTCAGATGGTCTTGCTAGAGTTGTACTGATAGGAGATTAAGTATTTCAAAGTATAGGAGATTAAATATTTCAAAGTACCCTTCAGAAAACAGTCAAACTACCCAGTATAAATCATACCCAAGCAGTCCTGGAGGGACTTCTGTAGTACAATCTGGACAATCTCCTCAAATTCTGCATTAGTAAGACTTGTTTTTTCCTGCAGAGACAAAATGAAAGAAGGAAAACTGCTTATCTTTCCATAGTTTTCTCCTCTTACTAGTCAGACACCTCCTTTGGATGAAGGTATAAGTTCACAAGACTAAAAGCATGATAACAACAAAACTAAGGGGTCTATCCACTTTATGCCAGATCTCCTGAACATAAAAGGCGTCAAAGAAAAAGAAATGGTTTCTATAAAGTTTCTGTCTATATCCACTCCCACATCTATCTCCTTTCACTCTTTTTTTTTTGCCAGTCCTGGGGCCTGGGCATTGACCCTGAGCTTCTTTTGTTCAATGCTAGTGCTCTACCACTTGACTCACAGTGCTACTGCCAGCCTTTTCTGTTTATGTAGTTCTGAGGAATTGAACCCAGGGTTTCATGAATGCTAAGCAAGTACTCTACCACTAAGCCACATTCCCAGCCCCTTCATTCATATTTTTTGTTGTTATTAAATGTTTTCATAAAAATATTTTCCCAGCTGGGTGCCGATGGCTCACTCCTATAATCGTGGTTCAAAGCCAGCCCAAGCAGCAAAGTTGATGAGACTCTTCCCCCCCCCCTCCCCCCTCCCCCCCCTCCACCACCACCACCACCACCCTCCCCCCCCCCACCCCCCGTGGAGCCTGAACTCTGGGTGTGGGCACTGTCCCTCAGCTTTTCAGCTCAAAGCTAGAGCTCTACCACTTGAACCACAGCACCTCTTCCGGCTTTTTCTGTTTATTTGGTACTGAGGAATCGAATCCAGAGCATTAAGCATGCAAGGCAAGCACTCTACCACTGAGCCACCTTCCCAGCCCCTCAATGGGACTCTTATCTCCAATTTACCACTAGAAAATGGAAGCGGCGCTGTGGTAGAGTGCTTGCCTTGAAGTGATGAGCTCAGGGACAGTGCCCAGGCCCAGAGTTCAAACCTCACAACCAACAAAAATAAATAAATAATATTTTCTCTTTTGGAGAAGAAAATGAATATCCAATGAAAGGAATAAAAATCTAAACTAAACTAAATGTAGTACACAACTATAATCCCAGCTTCCTGGGAGGCTGAGGCAAAAAGATTCCAAGTTCCAGGCTAGCCCAAGCAATGTAGGAAAACTCTCAACAATTCAAAACAAAAAAATAAATAAACTACTTTTGCAGGGTGACCAGTGGCTCACACCTGTAATCCTAGCTACTCAAGAGGCTAAAATCTGAGGATCATGGTTCAAAGCCATCCCAGGAAGAAAACTCCATGGGACTCTTATCTCCAATAAATCACCAAAGAGCTGGAAATGGAGTTATGGGCTCAAGTGTAGAGCACTAGCCTTGAGCAAAAAGAGGGCGCCAGCCTTGAGCACAAAGAGGCTCAGGGAGAGCACCGAGGCCCTGAGTTCAAGCCCCACAACCAACAAAAAAAAACTTCTTTTTTCAAGAAGTGGTAGTGCAATGGAGTCATGACTCAAGTAGCACAGTGCCAGCCTGGAGCAAAAAACTAAACAGAGCATGAGACTCTGAGTTCAAGTCCCAGTATGTGCACATGCACACAAAAATGGGGGGAGTAGGGTGCAGGTCAGTTGCAGACTGTTTACATAGCATGCTGAAGTGATCATTGGTATAATTTTCATATCACATCAAAAAGGAAGGAGGAGGAAAGAGGGAGGAAGAATTATTAAAAGTGCAGAATGAATTTCCCATCAGAAAAAAGTTCGTCTACCATAGGTGGGGAACAGAATAAAAGGAACTGTCCAACCAGAGTCCATCGCTATGACTCATACCTTTTCTTTCTTCTCCATAGGCTTGTCTTGAGCCTTGCCTTTTATCTCCCATCCACTGTTTGACTCATTCTCTGTGGTTGCCTTCTCCTCCTTCTCTAACTTGGTCTTGAGCCTGACTGGCTCAGCTATTGCGTCTGAGGGTCTCATTTCTAGTGTCATATGCTCCTGGGGTGAATTAGGACCTTGAGATATCATATGCAATTTCTGTGTAGGTGGAACAAAACTTTTCTTTGAACCCTTTCCACATTCTGCAAGAAATTCGAACAAATGAAACACAGCATAACAATAGATTACCAAACACCATTTCAGAGCTCTTAAATTCAGATTCATAGGCCTCTCCCTGTGTATCACCATCCACTTCCCTAACACTGCAATATGATAAAATAGTTCAGAGTGAAGTTGAAAAATCTGTAGCTCTTTAAGACTAGTTGATTCTGATAGACTACGTTTGATAAATACAAGAAAGTAACAGGTGAATTATTCAAGTGTGAAAATTTTTAATTTGCTTTATCTCTGGATTAAAATTTTATGAGAAATTAGCTTAGAATTATTCAAAACCTACAAATCACTCATAACCCACTTCCTCTATAAAGAAAAACATTCTAAGTTTTTCCTAGATATATCTAATATCTCTTTCTTCTGAGCTTCCATAATACTTAAAACCTTTCTGGTGGTGTTTACCACATTTAACTTTATATAACCTTTTTTTTCCAGTCCTGTGGCTTGAACTCAGGACTTGGGCACTATCCTTGAGCTTCTTTGTGCTCAAGGCTAGCACTCTACCACTTCAGCTACAGTTCTGACTTTTTCTGAGTAGTTTCTTGGAGATAAGAGCCTTACTTTTCCTTGCAAGGCTGGCTTCCAACTGCAATCCTCAAATCTCACCCACCTAAGTACCTAGAATTATAGGTATGACCTATGCTATAATTTATTTTGTTTTATTTATTTTATTGTCGGTTGTGGGGCTTGAACTCTGGGCCTGAGTGCTGTCCCTGAGCTCTTCAGCTCAAGGCAAGCACTCTACCACTTGAGCTTACAACACCACTTCTGGTTTCTGGTGATGAATTGGAGATTAGTCTCACCGACTTTCCTGCCTGGGCTGGCTTTGAACTGGGATCCTCAGATCTCAGCCTCTTAAGGATTACAGGCATGAGCCACCAGCACCCAGCTGTCATAAATTTTTAAGTGTCTTTTTTCCTTTCTATGAGTTCATATATTTCTTGAGCAGGGTTGTTTCTAAACTGTATTTGTTTTGCTCAAAACATCTAGCAGAATAATAATCTGGAGGCTGGGAAGATGGCTCAGTGGTAGAGTGCTTGCCTTGCATGCATGAGGCCCTGGGTTCGATTCCTCAGCACCATACAAGCAGAAAAAGCCAGAAGTGGCATTGTGGCTCAAGTAGTAGAGCTCTAGCCTTGAGCTGAAGAGCCAAGGGACAGCGCCCAAGCCCTGAGTTCAGGCCCCATGACTGACCAACCAAAAAGAAGAAGAAGAAGAAGAAGGAGAAGGAGAAGAAGGAGAAGAAGAAGAAGGAGGAAGAGGAGGAAGAGGAAGAAGAAGAGAAAATATATGTGATCTAAAATACCCTTTGATGAGAAAGATGAGCTGTTTAGAAGCAGAAATGATATATACCAAGTAGACCTCCCTCAATCTTCACTCACCATCGTTTTTCTGCAATGTTGCCATTTTTCCACCAAGAAACCACTTTCTTTGCTGTTGAAAAACAAGAAAATAACTTCCATAACTGATGAAATGTGATTTTAAACATTTTTTTTTTTGGTTAGTTGTGGGGCTTGACCTCATGTCCTGGGTGCTGTTCCTGAGCTCTTTTTGCTCAAGGCTAGCACCTTACCACTTTGAGTCAAAGCTCCACTTCTAGTTTCTAGGTAGTTAATTGGAGATAAGACTCTCAAGGACTTTCCTGCCCAAGCTAGCTTCAAACTGTAATACTCAGATCTTAGCTTTCTGAATAGCTAGGATTACAGGCATAATCCATCAGTGCCTGGCCTGCTTTTTTTTAAATGGGGGTGGGGGGGGAGGAGTACTGAGAAATAACTTACTAAGACCCCAACATAGCTAAATGCAAAATGTTTAGCTTATCTTTCCATATTTTCATTTGAGGGCACTACTAAGTAATTGAAACCAGGGTCTCATTCATACTAGGGGTCTTCTAACTGAGTTATATCCCCAGACCCAGATTCCCACCCCCTTTTTTAACAAAGGGCCTCAATAATTTGCCAAGGCTACCCAGAACTCTCAATTCCCTGAAGCATCCTTTGACATTTTTCTTTTCTGTTTCTTCTACAAATATGAGCAATTCAGGCATGCTATTTTTTTGGTTTTTTGGTTTTCGGTTTTTTTGGTCGGTCATGGGGCTTGAACTCTGGGCTTGGGCGCTGTCCTTGTGCTCTTCAGCTCAAGGCGAGTGCGCTCTACCGCTTGAGCCACAGCACCACTTCCGGTTTTCTAGCGGTTTATTGGAGATAAGAGTCTCATGAACTTTCCCGCCCAGGCTGGCTTTGAACCGCACAATCCTCAGATCTCAGCCTCCTGAGTAGCTAGGATTACAGGGGTGAGCCACTGGCACCCAGCTAAGAGATTGGAATTTTTTTTTTTTTTCTGTCAGTCATGGGGCTTGAACTCTGGGCCTGAGCGCTGTTCCTCAGCTCTTCAGCTCAAGGCTATCACTCTACCATTTGAGCTACAGCGCCACTTCTCAGGCATGCTGTTCTAAAACAACTATTTTGCCTTCATCTGTATTATTTTTGGTGGTACTAGATTTTGAACTCAGCCTCACGCTTGCTAGATGGGCTATCACTTGAGCCACTCCACAAGACCCTTATGGGGCTAATGATATTTGATATTGGGTCTCACATGAAGCCCACACTCTGGACTGCAATACTCCTATTTGTGTTTTCCTATGTTGTCAAATGCCAAGTGCATGCCACTATGAGTATCCCTTTCTTATACTGGACTCAAACTATGATTCCCCTAAGGTCCACCTCTCAAGTAGCTAGGATTATAGGTTGGAGCTCCATGGCCTAGCTGACTTTTCCTTTACAGGAAAGAGAATTAGTTTCTCTTCATTTCATCAGGGAGAAACCTGAAAATCTAGAGTGAAAATTTAGAGAACCAGGAAGCAAATGTGTCTCTTTATTTAGTATAATCCTAAACAGAAGACAGAAAGTAAATAAAATTAGGCTGTAAAAGGAATACTAAAGCTGAGTGTCAGTGACTCACCCCTGTAGCCCTAGCTACACAGGAGGGTGAGATCTGAGGGTCACAGTGCAAAGCCAGCCTGGGCAGGAAAGTCCGTGAGACTATCTCCAGTTAAGTACCAACAAAGCTAGGAGTGGAGCTGTGGCACAAGTAGTAGAGTGCTAGCCCCTGAGCAAAAAAGCTCAGGGACAGGGCCCAGGCCTTGGGTTCAAGCCCCAGGCCTGGCACAAGAATAATTATTACCTACATATTATATTACTAACTACAAGAAGAATTAACTACTACTAACTACATATAACAAACAGTTCTTCTTCTAGAATCAAAAATTCCCCCCAAAGAGATCACGAAGTCCACATGAAACTAATTTAAATTATGAGTCATATTAAGGAACAAAAAGCTAAATGAAAAACTAGTAACGGGCTGGGAAGGTGGCTCAGTGGTAGAGCGCTTGCTTTGCATGCCTGAGGCCCTGGGTTCGATTCCTCAGCACCACATAAGCAAAAAGAAAAAAAGCCGGAAGTGGCGCTGTGGCTCAAGTGGTAGAGCGCTAGCCTTGAGCTGAAAAGCTGAGGGACAGTGCCCAGACCTAGAGTTCAGGCCCCATGACCGGACCCTAAATAAATAAATAAAACTTAGTCCCCAATTAAAAAAAAAAAGCAAACTAGTAATGAATGAGATAATATTTGGCTATCCAACATACGTGTTTAAGCCAGTGGCTCACACCTGTAATCCTAGCTACCCAGAATATTTGAAGATTGAGGTTCAAAGCCAGCCCAGGGAAGAAAGTCCATATGACTCTTATCTCCAGGTAACCACCAGAAAATAAAAAGTGCAATTATGGCTCAAAGTGCTAGAGAGCTAACCATGAGCACAAAGAAGCTCAGAGACAGAGCCCAGTCCCTGAGTTCAAGCCTCAGGACCAGAAAAAGAGAGAAAGAGAAAGAGAGAGAGAGAGGGAGAGAGAGAGAGAGAAGGGGAGGGGTGGGGAAGGGAAAGGGAGGGAGGAGGGGAAAAAGGGAAGGAGGGAGAAAAAAAGAGGTGAAGGGGAGGGATGGGGAGGGGGAATGGAAACAGAAGGGAAAGGGAGGGAGAGGGGAGGGAAGGAGAAGGGAAGAAGGGAGGGGCAAGAAACTGAGGAGATAGGGGAGGAAGAATGGGGAGGAGTTAAGGGGAGGGGAAAAAAGGAGGAGAAAGGAGGGGGAAGGGGGCAGGAGAAGGGAAGAATGGAGGGAGAGGGACAGGAAACAGGAAAGAGGGAGACAGGGAAGGATCGAGAGGAGGTGGCAGGAAACAGAAGGAAAAAGGAAGAAGAGGGAGGAAAGAGGGGGAGTGAGAAAGGAGGAGGAGGGATAAGAGAGGGGCACGAAACCGAAGGTAAAGGAAGTAGAGAGAGAGAAGGGAGAGGGGAGGGGGCAGAAAACAGAAGGGAAAGAAAGGAGAGGGGAGGGGGAGGAGAGGAAGCAGGAAATGGAAGGGAAAGGGAAGAGAAAGGAGAGGGGAGGAGGAAGAGGGGAGTGGACAGAAAAATGGAAGGGGGAAGGGGGAGGAGGCAGGGAAGAGAAAGGACAAGAAGGGAAAGGGAGAGGGAGGGAGAAGGGAGTAGGCAGGAAAGAGAAGGGGAAGGAGGAGGAGGGGAGGGAAAAGGAGAGGGGAGGGAGCATGAAATGGAAAGGAAAGGGAGGGAGAGAGGTGGGGACAGGAAACAGAGAGGTGGAGAGAGAGAAAGGGGATGGAAAATGGAAGGAGAGGGAGGAGGAGGGAAAAGGGAGGGGCAGGAAATAGAGGGAAGGGGAAAGGGCAGGAAATGGAAGGGAGAGGGGAGGGAGCAGAAAATGGAAGGGAGAGGGAAGAGGGAAAGAGCAGGAAATGGAAGGGAGAGGGGAGGGGGCAGGAAATGGAAGGGAGAGGGGAGGGGGCAGGAAATGGAAGGGAGAGGGGAGGGGGCAGGAAATGGAAGGGAGAGGGGAAAGAGCAGGAAATGGAAGGGAGAGGGGAGGGGGCAGGAAATGGAAGGGAGAGGGGAAGGAGCAGGAAATGGAAGGGAAAGGGGAGGGGGCGGGAAATAGAAGGGAGAGGGGAGGGGGCGGGAGATGGAAGGGAGAGGGGAGAGGGAGGGGGAGAGAAAGGAAAAAGAAAAAAGACTTGTTTTAGGATGGAATTCATTCTTTTTTTTTTTTCTTTTTTTTGTCTGTCGTGGGGCTTGAACTCTGGGCTTGGGCGCTGTCCCTCAGCTCTACAGCGCCACTTCCGGTTTTCTAGTGGTTTATTGGAGATAGGAGTCTCTCCAACTTTCCGGCCTGGGCTGGCTTTGAACCGCCATCCTCAGATCTCAGCCTGAGTAGCTAGGATGACATGTGTGAGCCACCAGCGCCGGGCCAAGATGGAATTCATTTTTTCAGCATTACTATCTAACAACTACTTATTTTCATGCCTAATACTAGCGTTTTATTTCTTTGCGTGGACGCATCCGCCCCTTCGCACAGCGAATGTATATTATCTTTTTTAATCCCAATACATTTTACAAAATTTATTTTCAAATAAGAGTCCAGCTACTCTGCCCACCACAAACCCCAACCGCCCTCAGAAGTGTGCCCAGGCGGACAAAACTTCTGCCAACGCTCATGAATACACACGCACTCTTCACAAACTACATCTTCTCACTTCGGGGCGTAGAAGAGCCCTTCCCCAAACTCTGTGCCCGAACCCAGTAGCTGCTGCCTCCTCTCCTGGCTGCCCTCGTCCATGTGGCGACAGATGCTCGCCACGCACCTCCACTGTCACCCCCGAACTCTGCCCTCCCTGCAATGGGGGGGAGAGGGGCGCAATCAAAGCTTAGTAACCACAAAATGCTCACCTACCCCCCCTCCCCAAGCCAGCCCCCTTCCTCCCCTCAGCCACTTTCTCTTCAGGACAGCCATGAAAATGGGAGATACCCGGAGCCGAGGCCCTCTCAGGGGACGGATGGCGGCTCCGGACCCCCGTTTCCCCCTGAGCAGCCGCTGAGGGACTCGGAACCTCTTCCCCCTGCTCCAATAATCATTTCCCGCCTAGACACTATCGGGGTTTTTTTTTTGGTTTGGGGGTGATGCTACCCCCCCTCCGAGGGGGCGGGAAAGGAGGTGGGGTGAGGTGGAGTAGAGTGGCTGGAGATTCTGAGGTAAAATATTGGTCATCCCTCTGAAAAGAAAGTTTTTTCCCACAGTCAAGTACCGGGATTGGTCCTCTCTACTATTTTCGTCTGCCGCGGGAGGTTAAAAAAAAAGTCAGCTACCTTCTGAGTGGAGCCCGGAACTTAAGGTCGAGGAGCAGCGCGAGTTATTGCAGCCATACCACAAACCTCTGCAACCTCGACCTGCTTTTTCCCGCCACTAGGCGAAGGCGCGAGGACGCGAATAAGCTCCGCCCCCTAGCGGCGTGCTTTCTCCCCTCCCCACCCCCGTGCCACCAGTGGGAGGGCGCATGCGCAGATCGTAGGCGCTTCGGCGTTTGCGCGGCTAAAATAGTTCCACCATCTTCCAGTGTCCTGAGAACTACAAATCCCACAATCCTCGCTGGCATCACTTTTATTAGGCGGCAGCGACAGTGCCTGATTGTTTCTGGTAACACATCTTCCCAACCCTTCCGTCCTCGACTGCCTTTCCCTGACTCTTTTCATGCCGTAATTCCTATTCTTGTTTGTAGCCCTCTTCACGCCCTTATTTTAATATTACGAAACTATCCTGAGCTCTACTTTGGCCACTACCGCCCCTCAGCCAATCTGTTGCAGGGAGACCCCGCAACTCATCATCCAGGGGAAACCAGCCAAGTCCTGTTTCTTTTTACCCAAAGCTGGCCGAATGCCTTTCCCTGCCCATATGTGATTTATTTGTTTGTTTTGGGTATAAGGCTGCAGCGGTGTAGATTCGGAAGGGCCAGCAGGTACAGCCCACGGCAGTGGACGTAGAGGGCCCCGCGGGGCAGGAGACGTCTACTGCGCAGGCGCCTGGCGTGGGGCGTGGTGTGGAGGTGGAGAAAGAGGCGTGGCGTGCCCAGGTGATCGCACACAGGGGAAGGCGGTGGAGCAAGAAAACGACGCGGCCATTTCGGAGGAAGAGGAAGTTGGGCAGCCTCGGCTGCTTTAGTGCTTTTTTTTTTTTTGTTTTTTTTTTTCAGTTCAGCAGAGAATATTCTCGGAGAGGTGTGTGTTTAAGTGACCTATCGCATTTTACTAGGAACAGTTCGTGGATTGGTCTCAACTCTTCCTTCTCCCCACCGTGAAGGGTCTTCCCTTCTCTCAGTAGTCCTCCTAAGTAGGTGGGAGGAGGAGGAGGAGGAGGAAGTGTGCAATCCTCATGAATAATTCATGAGCCCGCCCCTTTCGCCGTGGGGCCACGCCCCTCTGGTCTTGCTGACGCACTCTGCGTGAATCTAACCTGAGGAAACGACGTCACAGTCCCCGCCCCTAGGACGGAGGGCGGGGGTATCATCTCCAACACGTGCTGCATCTACCCGCGCAAGCCTAAAAGGGTGTGCGCAGGCGCTGCCCAGTAGGGGGAGGCAGGAGGCGGGGTAACGAGGTTGTTGGGTTTAGAGCCGGGCGGAGACCGCTGAGACTCATTCCTCAGGAACAAGGGTCGGGTGTCAAGGAGACCTTTTCACACCAGCTCCCCGTCCCTCGCCAACGGTGGGTGGGAACGTGCGGCCGAGACAAAGGATATCAGTAGGGCCGGACCTAGCCGCCAAGGGAAGTAGGTGTCCGTTTGGGGTGGTGGGCTTCTTGGGGGTGGGGGGGTTTGAGATGGGGGGGCTATATTTAAACTCCCGGAGCCGTTAAGTTGGTTCGTACTCCGATGCGCGCGCAGCCAGGGTGGCGGCAGAGTACGCATGCGTGGCTGCGGGCTGAGCGGAACGCGCGCCGGCCGTGCGCGCTCGCGACGGAGAGGTAGTGGTGGCGGAGAAAGAGGGGTCGGCGCACGCGCGGTTGAGTCCTCGGCTTGTCCGGGTCTCGCGGGCATCTTGTTTTGGTCTCGCGGGCGAGTGGGACGCGCTTGAAGGGGGGGAGGGGGGTAGGTACTCGGGAGAGAAGCGAGCGGAGCGGAGCTGCGCGCGCACTCGGGAGAGAGGGGGTGGGGAGGGAACAGGGTTTAGGAAGGAAGCGGGGAGCTAAAGCCCCTGATCCCCCGTCGGTACCCTCGACTGGGACGCAATTAAGGGGAGGAAATGATCGAGATGGCGGCGGAGAAGGAGCCGTTTCTGGTGCCGGCCCCGCCGCCGCCGCTCAAAGATGAGTCGGGCGGAGGGGGCGGCCCCGCGGTGCAGCTGCACCGGGAGGCTGTGTCCGGGGAGCCCCGCGGCGGGGCGGAGCGCGGGCCGGGGCCTCGCGCGCACTCGGCGGGGACCGCGGCCAGTCCTCGGGGCGGCTCGGCCCCCCAGCCCCGAGGGGGCGGCCCGGCGCCGTCCCACGGGGAGGCCCGCTTGTCGGAGCCCCCGGGGCGAGCCGCTCCCCAGGACGTGGGGGAGGAGCGCCGGGCAGGGGGCGGGGCGGAACTGGGGCCCCCGGCCCCTCCTCGACCTCGCAATGGCTACCAGCCCCACCGGCCCCCCGGGGGAGGGGGGGGGCAAGAGGAGGAATAGCTGTAATGTTGGGGGGGGTGGGGGGAGCTTCAAACACCCGGCCTTCAAGAGGCGCCGGCGGGTGAATTCGGACTGTGACTCTGTGTTACCCTCCAACTTTCTTCTGGGGGGCAATATCTTTGATCCACTGAACCTGAACAGCCTCCTGGACGAGGAAGTGAGTCGTGCACTCAATGCGGAGACCCCCAAGTCCTCCCCACTTCCGGCCAAGGGGCGAGATCCAGTGGAGATCCTCATCCCCAAAGATATCACTGACCCGCTCAGTCTCAATACTTGCACTGATGAGGCCCAAGTAGTTCTTGCTTCGCCACTCAAGACTGGTCGCAAGCGGCATAGACACCGGGGACAGCACCACCAGCAGCAGCAGGCATCTGGAGGGAATGATAGCCACGCCGCGCTGCCCACAGCCCCCCTCACCCCCTCATTCCACGGGGAGGGCGCCACACAGCAGCAGCGGCACAAGGGCCAGAACCGCGATGCCCCCCTACCCTATGAACTCAACACAGCCATCAACTGCAGGGATGAGGTCGTGTCTCCCCTTCCATCTGCCCTGCAGGGTTCCTCAGGCTCCCTTTCAGCCCCTTCAGCTGCCTCAGTTACCTCTGCACCCTCGTCTTCCTCCTCCCGACATCGCAAACGTCGCAGGACTTCCAGCAAGTCGGAGGCAGGGGCTAGGGGTGGAGGTCAGGGTTCCAAGGAAAAGGGCCGAGGGAGTGGGGGAGGCCGCCACCACCATCACCCACTACCTGCAGCAGGCTTCAAAAAGCAACAACGCAAGTTCCAGTATGGGAATTATTGCAAGTACTATGGGTACCGCAATCCTTCCTGTGAGGATGGGCGCCTGCGGGTGCTGAAGCCTGAATGGTTTAAGGGCCGGGACATTCTAGATCTGGGGTGCAATGTGGGCCATCTGACCCTAAGTATTGCCTGCAAGTGGGGCCCATCACGCATGGTGGGACTGGATATTGATTCCAGGCTGATACACGCAGCCCGTCAAAATATCCGACACTACCTGTCCGAGGAGCTACGTCTCCCACCCCAGACTTCTGAGGGGGATGCTGGGGCAGAGGGTGAGGAAGGGACTGCCACCATCCGAAAGAGAAGCTGCTTCCCAGCCTCACTGCCGGCCAGCCGGGGTCCCATTGCTGCACCCCAAGTGCCCTTGGATGGAGCGGACACCTCTGTCTTCCCCAACAATGTTGTCTTCGTCACGGTAAGAATATTAGAAGGTTCTTGGAATAGGGCCTGGGTATGGGGATGCAGTGAGAGCAATGTGTCGGGAAAGATCAGGACCCAGAGGCATTATCCTGCACCCACTCCTCAGCAGGAGATGGAGAATGTCTCTACTGGGTGGTTTGCCCCTCCTATCACCTGGAGAGGTAGGATTCATCTCTACCCCAGGTTGGTCCACATCTTCAGGGTAACCATTGCCACTACTAGGGGATTCTGTCCTAATGGAACCCTTTCCTCAAACCCACTGAAGGAACATGAGGCTGCTAGACAATGTGTTGAGGGAGAGGAGACTGGTGGTAGACTGTTTGAAGTTTCTGCCCTTTGATAGGGCCTCTGTTTGCATCAGCTGCTTCTATTTCCTTAGATACAGAGTTGATGAGTCAGGGGCCAGGAACAGATCTGCTCAGCATTAGGTCTTTTCCACATTGGCTCTGGGTAGTGGGAGGGGGGGAACACAGACTCTTCTTCAGGGAGGGAGACTATGTCCCTGACGGCACACAGCTCCCCATTAAACTGTCATTGGACTGGCTGCAGTAATGTTGGCTGCTAGGTCGGATCAAGCCTGAAGAAAGGACTTTACAGAGGACAGTGATGAGCATATCTTCTAGAAAAGATTTCCTAAGGGGATGTGTGGCTCTTGATTTCTCTAGAAGAAAGGAAAAAATAGGCCTGACATTTTGCTAGCCCTCCACTACAGGGAAAGACCCACGGGTCTCCTTGTATAATGTTGAGCCCCTGCCTCATGTCTAGGAGTCCTCCAGCATTTGCTCACTACAATTTTGACTCCAAGTAGGAAAATTTCATGGTTAATCAGTTTTAAAATACAGGGCTCCATTTTAAGTTTGACTTTACCATAAGGAAGAAGCAGAGGCAAGAAGAGAAAGTTAGACTGAAAGGG